TTCGTAGATAAGCACGATATACGCTGTAAATCAATTCTGTATTATGCGCACTTCTCTAATTAAAACTGAAATAAATAGAAAAGATTCCTTTCCCCTTCCTACACTAATTTGAAGTACAGAAATCGTACTATATATTGCTACATTTTCTGGAAAAAGGTCCCTTGTACTTTTTAAGATATACAGCTGTCAACATCAAAGACTGTGGTTCCCTTGACTTTAGTCTAGGGTCTTACAAAATGGTTGTCTGTGTGTGTGTTTGTGTGTGTATGCGCAAAATACAAAAAAATGGCTGTCAGATATTCTATGGATAAGCGAATCACATGAGACAACAGTAGAAAATTATTTTTTACATAAGAGAGAAATATTCAAAGAGATCATCTGAAATATTTACTAATGCAAAGAAGTGAACAGTTCAGCAACCGTTTTCTGTGGGCCGGGGGTAGATGTCGCCAGATAGCAGTCAACTGTGACAATACAAAAAAAGTGGTCTACGGTAATAAAATTGACAGTGTATAGATAATCTACTATAACGAATCGATCAGAAATACTTCCAACCTCCTTGGGGTCTGCAGAGGGTATGCAGAAAACCTCTTAACTTTATATTACATTAGATGGTTTTTTGGTTGAATCAGAGAAGTTCATAGCGTTTCTGATCTATACTGGTTGCGAACGCTGGCAGAAGGGAAGCGTGAGCATTGTCTTGAATTCAGAAATAGTTTTAGACCTTTTGAGATTTTTGCTCTATTTATATTAGATTACAAACCTTACACATGAAAACAGAAAAATATCCCGAAGATGTCTTAGGTAGGCTCCCAGCGAGCGCCGACCGAAGGGAGGCGTGAGCATTGTTTTGAATTCAGAATTATGTTTAAACCTCTAGGGATTCTTGATTTATATATTAATATCAGACTACGAACCTTATACATGAAAAATGAACAAAAATTCAGAAGATGCCTTAGTTAAGCCCCCAGCGAGCGCCGAACGAGAGAGGCGTGAGCATTGTGTTCGATTTAAAAGTCACCAAAGGACGTTCGCTGGCGCAGATCCAACTTAATAAAGCCAAGGGACCGAGCGAGTGGAGACGAGCGTTACCTTGTTAGTAAAATATAAAGGGTAGACAAATAAATATGTTATTCTTTCAATCACTATTTTGTCTGATATTGTTCTTGCATAAAAAGGACCCTTTTTTACTTTTTATACTAATCTGAAGTACACAAATTGTACTATATATTGCTGTATTGTCAAGAAAAAAAGTTCCTTTTAGTTTTGAAGGTATTCAAGCATGCATGAATTATCGCACTTGGTCAACGGATCAGAACTGAGATAAAAACCAGTAGAAGACGGGTCTTTCAGTTTAATTTTACTGATTTCACTGGAAAAAATAAATGTTCAAGTTAAGCTTCTGTGACAATGATGTTCCGAAATCTGATCAGGAAAGTTATGCTGGTCATTCCACAGTTCGTGCAATTTCTAAATTAAAGTGAAGTCCAGAGAGTTTACTAACTTTAATCTGTGACATTGACGGTTCTATACCTTCAAAACTAAAAGGGCGACATCAAGGGCGATGATCGCCCTTGATGTTTTGCTTATACTAAACTGCAGATACGTCAGCGAATCGATTTCTGCGTGCCTCGCTTTTAAGATTCAATAGTACCTGTAGTCTTCTTTGACAAGAGTGAAGAGCAGTATACAAAATATACTGTATTGTATACACGAGGCATCAATTCTTCATGGATACACATGACTCGCCGAAACTCTCTGTCGCATAGTAGGTCTGTTTCTTCACAACGTACAGTTTCAAATAAATGGCGGTATTTCGAGAACTTTTAAGGAAAGTTCCGGCACTGCACGGACCATGCTGTCCGGTGGAAGATGTTGCTTAAAAACTGCGCATGCCTTAATGCTAGGTACTCATATCAAAACTTGATATAAATTATTTTTTCCTAACCGTTTAAAATAGATTTTTTTAAAAAGAAAATTAGACAAGCTTGGTAAACGGCCTGCGAGTGGGTTTATATATGATTTTTAGACGGTTGGAAAAAAATAATTTATATCAAGTTTGACATGAGTAGCCAGCATTGAGACATGTGCAGTTTTTAAGCATAAAACTAAAAGGGTTCGTCTGAGAAAAGTAGGAGAAAAATGTCGTGTTCCATTTTCCAACCATTTTTACAAAATTAAATTTTTTTTCTACACTAATATGAGCTGATGAAGATAAAAAGGCATGCCACTAGGTGTAACTTTCAATGCTTTATTCAAGCATGTGTGAATTATTGCACTTGGTCAACGGATCAGGACTGAGGTTAAAACTAGTAGAAGATGGGTCTCAAATAAGTCCATCCCCTAGTAGAAGTACATTTTGGCATCACCCTAGTGTTTCAAAATGTTCTGTTACATATAAATCGATGCAGAATTGCTTGCTCTACAAAATGAAGTAACATTTAGTTTCGGACCGCCATATGCATGGCCAATATTTAAAAAGTACTGAGAAAATTCAGTTTTAAAAATATGGAATATTTTGGTTTTCTATCATTTAGTCCTAGATAGTTAAACATATGATTATGTCTATATATAGTATGTTATCGAGCAGACAGTTCTCTTCCAAATGAGCCATGAACGAATCATAGAAGTCTGATAGTTTTGAGAAACTGGAAAATACAAAAATTGTGAAAACTCACCTTTTTCGGTAACAAGAGTGCCCCCTAACAGAGTGTATGACCTCTGGTTTTTTAAAAAGCGTTTTAGAAAGAGTTATCGCATGGTTAGTGGCTATTTTGTGTGCTCTTTTGAATGAGACATAAAATAAAAATAAAATAAAATGCTGAGCGAAAATGAAATGCAAGCCGTAGATCGGTTTTCTGGCGAAGTCGCTTTTAAGTTTTCATTTTTTAAACCTTAATTCTTTTAAAAAATTTAGCCTTCAACTTCTACAAGAGCATATTAAAACTCTTTTCCAAAATGTAAAAGTCAAAACTTAGATGGAAAAGTTTGCTTTTCGCCCCTATAGAGAAAAGAATATCAGACATGAGCAGATAGAAAGGTTTCGATGCTAACTGAGCAGCCATATACAATGAAACTACAAACTCATTTCTCATTTGTAGAATCGCGATAAAATGGGTTTCATATTAGAAAGAAATTGACAAATTAAATGTTTGTTGTTACACGTCTCATCTGTCAATAGATGTTATTTTAATGGCTTTATGACAACAGTGTGTTGCGCAGAAGGTGACGAATAGAAATATAATCATTCACTGCGGGTTTTCTCGTTTCTGCAACGCGTTGATGAAACCATTTTCAGGTATCAAAATCATTTTTTATTCTTTTGGATGTGACGATGGCAAAGTAAAGCCAAAGTGCATAGAGGTCCATAATCTTTCCTGCTCCTGGAAACAAGACGGCTATTTCACACACTGCAGGCATTCAAACTCATTTTCGCCTTAGCAGAATGAAGTGCTCCTTTGCCATATACCGACACCTAAAAACCACTGAAAATTGGAAGACAAATCATCTTTGGTGGGTTGTCTGCTGTGAGCATGTAATCAACATGTGATTTGTAAAAAATTTTGGTATCCTAAATTTCTAAAGCTTCTAGATAAGCAGATGTTTGAGTTAAGAACGCTTAAAATAAAAGAGAAATGGTCACTTTGTATTTCCAAGATCTGTCAGCTACAGCATCCAAAAACCCAATTTGTATTTGCACGCATGTATGGGAACATGCAAACAGATCTTAAGTTTAAGAACAAAAATCTGACAGAGATATAAGTAACATACTGATTTATTTCTTCTGATAAATATAAAATGTTATATCCGTGCCGTATTATAAATCCATCAAGCGAAAGAAAATTTATTTCTAAATAGTATCTTTTACAATAGGAAAAAGAAATTGATAGAACTAAACACTTCAATTATAAAAGCATTCATTCATAATGATTAAATTCCATGTGTTAAAATGCGTTTGTTCTTTAAATATTACGTTTTTGATAAATATATGTGTGTACTTGTTTAATACATCAAGCTGTGAATTTGTTGTTGATAATGAGGTATAATACATTATTATAATGATTAATACTAGATTATGGAACATGCTGGTAATATCCGCTAACCTGTGTTACTATCGAAATGATCGAAAAGGGTTTCACAGCGCGTCCGTATAAGGATTCATTCGATCTTAGCAATGGAAAATTAATTTTTGCTCATGATTTAGGTCAATTCACGAGAAGAAAGGACTGTTTCCCGTTTTTTTTGTCTAAAAATGTTTCATTTGCAGAATTCTAGAGACCATCTCGTTCCTACTGTCTTTATATTCCTAACGCTTTTACTGTATTTAAAAGTTAAATTGATTGATTTTATATGCTAAATGATAATAGCTTTTTGGATATTTTAGTTCCGCACTCATTTAAAAGTTGTATAATAGCCAGAAACGTACTGACTATCCCAAATTTAGTCGAAATTGTTTAAAGTGATTAATTCGAGTATTACAAGTAGTTTTGATAATCGGAGTTCTCTTCGCGGGGTTCATTTTCTGACCACTATGATGAAGAATGGTCAGGAAATTTTTTCATTATTGCCTAAATATGTTTTAAAGAGATTTTAAATGAAAAATGATGAATTATTTAGTGGGTGCTATAATATTATATTCAGGATTCTGTTTTCGATACAAAAAATGAAAAACACTTGTGAGTTGCTGACATATTGTTTAAACTTGCTATGTAACTAGAGTAGCGAGTAACCTAAATCTTTTTGTCTCATAAAACGATGAGATTTCAATGCCATAAGCATTAATAATGTGATATTAGATTATTAGTAAAAGTAAAAAGGCTGTTGATTTTCTTTATTATAGTCAATTGAACCAAATTAGTAGTTTCAGAATCTTAAAAAGAAATTTTCGTGGCTTCTTTGGTATTTCGACATATATTTTATCATCTATATTGGTTATATTTTTAAATAAATATATATTTGAACATTATGAAATTAAATCATTAACATTAACATTTATCCAAATGTTATGGACATCGATCAGTTTAGTTTTATGTTTAAAATTGTTAAACACATTTACATTTAAATCGATATCAATCCGCAGAGTATTACCATTATCAATAATATGCATATTATTTGTTGTTTTTACAAATCTTTCATTAGAATATAATACGTTAGGCACATCACAATTATTTAAAATATTAACAACACCATTTGTAACATTTATTAGTTGGTATTATTATAAAACACATTATTCACGTTTATTACTCATAACATTGATACCATTATCAATTGGCATACCCACACATTCTATTAATGATATTAAATTAACAATAGCTGGTACTATAGTTGCTATATTGGGTTCACTCACAGCATCTCTATATCAAATATGGATAGATGAAAAACAAAAAGAATTCGATATGGATTCACAACAATTACTAGTCTATCAAGTACCATTATCAGCCATAGTACTATTACCATTTGTTTTAATTATAGAAAAATTATCATTTTTTACTTCTTCAATGCCATTAAATTCAATGATTGTTATTAGTCTGTCGGGTTTTCTTGTATTTATTGTTAATATATCTTTATGCTGGGTTATTAAAAATACATCACCATTAACATATAACATAATTGGACACATTCGAACAGTAATAGTCTTATTAGGCAGTGTAGTTCTGTTTGAAGAACATCTTAATTTGAAGCAATCTATTGGTATGGTATTAACGTTATTCGGTTTAATAGCATACACATTTGTAAAAATGAAAGAACTAAATCAGTTGCCATGTACATTATTCAATTCTAATGTACAACAATTGCAACCGACTATATAAAATTATTCTCAGTTTTATGTTTGCAAAGTGCATTACATATGTATAATAAATCCTAGGGTCTAAATAAGATGAGGTAGAAAAGGTAGGCAGCATGCGTGTTGTCCACTTTTGTCTTTGTACTTGGTCAAAATTTTTTGATCATCAGCAGCAAAGTTTTGATTACAGAAAATGCAATTACATTCTCATGTGAAAGGCTTCTGTCGATCTTCAATTCAGTGTTAGTAAAGCTTTGCCAACGGCGATTCTTTCCTAATTGCAGACCGTGTGTTGTGCAAAATGAAGATCTACTTGTGCATATAGCTGGCAAAGTTTCTTCTATTTGCAAACGATTCAAAATCCCGCAACATCATTTATTGAGTTAGATAATGATATTGGATTAAATCTTACGCAAAACCTTGGCCAAACATACCAGATGCCAACCGCATCAGATATTCATTCACATGATGAGGTCTTAATTGCATCGCATTATTTAGATGTTATACATATGTCAGCGTTTTTATGTCGTCAGACAGACTTACTTTAACATTTGATCAAACAAATAAAATTGTTAATGTTAAAAAAGACCAATTTGCTAGTGGTACAACGATAAAATTTGCTGTAAAAAACTAAAACAGTCTACTATCCATTTCAAGGAACAGTGCACTCGGTTGTAAGTTGAATAACTCCAGAACGAAAGCAGCTGGAGACTTGCGGTTTTCAGCATTTGAAAGAGAGTCATATTTTTTTTTATATGAACATATCAGATCTGATTGGTCAATTTTGACCAATCAGAAGAATTCTTGAGACACACTTTAAAAACAATATTACGAAGGCATTTACCATTGGATTTAGGGTTTTGACATGACCATTCAATAGAGAAAAGTGTTCTCTTTCGATCTGCGTAAGACCGAGCCCGCTAGCGTGTTTCGCTTAGGAGTTAAGCATTTTTCAGAGAGCCCCAAACGGCATTTTCAGTGATTTTCGACCCTTCATTGAAGTCAAATGGTCGAACAAAGTGTGTATTCGGAATCAGCATGCAAAACTGCGTGGAGTGCCATACCTTTAATCTTCATTTGATGACTTTCGTTTTATTTTCATTTTTTTCACTAAACTATCATATCGCTCTGTGGATCATGGCAAGTACATGATAATTATAAAGAAGAAAGGGCTTGATTAAATTTGTTATCAGCTAGAATATGCGACGATATACAGCTATTCTATATATCCTTAAGAAGAAACACCCACATCTAGGTTTCTAAAACCTACCGTCTTGAGTCAATGTGCTATCAATCGTTCAACATTGTATTTAAATAAATCTTAGGTAGATCATATATCATTCAACAGCTATCTCAGTTCATATTATAAGTTACGTAAGTCAGGGGACCGATCGAAACAGACGAGCGTTACCTTGTACGTTTGTAGCAAACAGAACTGGTTTATTTTATTAACTCAAAACTGCCATTATCGTCTGTTCAAGAGTATTACAGTCACTGTAATCGAAGAAGAAACAATGGCGACAGCGTAGTTTTTCTCTCTATTTCTTTTGCTAGAGATGTCTTCGTTAGGCACCATCATGACTCGATGTCTGACAAAGAGTGTCGACGCATTTCAATGCATTAAACGTGACTAAGTCACCTATCTACGGCTTATGGTTGACTAAAGGTCTCTAGCTTAGCAAGTGCATTCTGCCTTTTTGATGTATTGGTGATGTCTATCCAATGCCCCTAGGGTATTTTCCTCAAATAAAGCAGCGACTTAGAGGTGTGTTTTTGAAGACATTAAGACGACTAACAGTAAGAATATTAGAAAATGCATCTGACGTGCCTTTAAAACGCATTGTGGACGTGTTTTGAAGCCAGCCGAGTGGTTTATCAGGACACTTCATTTTGACAGTGTAGCGAAGAAGTAATTAAAAATGCACCTCGACTACACCATGCATCGCAGATGTACGTTTTAATTATCATAACGCCTTATTCGCATTAATAAGAATACGTATACAAAAAGAAAAAAAGAGAAAAAGGAATAAATACAATCGAACGGGCTTTTGGACCGATGCTTAGAAATGATTAAAACTTTCAGCATTTGGTAGTCTATAATCAACTTTAAAGGCGCAGAAAAATTAAAAACTGAATAACGAACGGTTTCTGATCAGTTCCAGTCGTTATCTTCTGAAAAATATATAGGGCGGTTTTCTTGCAGAAACCGTCCGTTGTCCTTTAAATAGTTATCTTTCTCAATCGAGAGAAATTCTTACTTTGAATGTCAGTATAAACCGTTGGTAGAAAACACGTTACTATTGCACAAATCAAGGATGCGTCCACATTTCAAAATTTCTATCTCAATACTCACTCAAAGTTTAGTATTCGTCGGTGCATCTTCTTTCTTCTTTGATCTTATGTTTCTCTTAGGGTTGATAAACCATGTAGACATACTTTAATTAAGTTTTAAAACGTGAGCTATGGGATGGCATTAGACATTTCTTGGGATTTTATCTTATCATTTTGTGTCAGTAAGTCAGATTTCTTGTCGTTGAGACACTTGTTTTATGTGACCTTAGTCTTGCAGCAAACCTGATCATGGACTCATTTGAAAATCATTACTTTTAGTTCTTTGACAGACTTTTTCTCATATAATTGGTTTAATTATGGTGAACTAAGTTTGCATGGAAGATTGTTAAAGAGAATGTGAGTACACTGTGAAAAAGACGCGCATGTTTTACTAAAAAATGCGTGCACGATGCATTCAAAACAGTTCCCTTTTTCTTTCCTGGCAAAAAAATTCCATTTAACATACCGGTCAGAATGATTTCAACAGGCAGCTAGATTCTGATTTTATGCATCCACGGTAACTTACCAAGATATTACGGATGCTCAGTCTCTAGGTCTCGAGTACGTTCTTCTGTGTAATGCATTTTCAATGCATAAAGTAAGGTACACTTATGGATGGCATCTTGAATACGTAAAAAGAAATTCGAAGTTATTGTGGTGTGGTATTTTTTCTCTATTTCTTCTGCTATAGATGTCTTCACACGGCACCAGGATGACTCGATGTAGTCTCGGTGCATTTCGATGCCTTAAACGTGATTTAGTCATTTGTCTATGGCTTATGGGTGACTAAGGATCTTGACCGTAGCTACACTGTAACCTTGAATTAATTTCCAGTTTATAGAAAATCGACCGAAAAATCGTCGGGGATTATCTAGTTTATAGAAATTCCTCTACAAATTTCGAGCTTTCTGGGAAATGTTGATTTTCTAGTTTATAGAAAATCGACTTGAATTTCTATAAGTTCGATTTTCTATAAAGATAGAGAACCGCTAAGGATTTTCTATAAACTAGAAAATCTTCGGCGATTTTCTAGAAAGTGAAAATTCGCTGGACCACATACTTATTTATCTTTCTGTTTTGCGTTCAGTGCAGATATAAGAGCGTCATGTGACGACATTCATATTACACTTAAATCAGTTTTCACTTTAAATCGCAGTTCTGCCTATGCCACCAACCATTTTGATTTAGGCGGAGATAGTACTGGTACGAAGTTTAGATAGGAAGGTCCCCAAATCGGAGACGTTCACTAGAAATTTCTGGTAGGAACACTCTTTGAAATTAGCCGAGCATTTTCCATAAATTTTTTCCAACCTTAAAATGTAATGCATTGTGCCTTCTTGGTGTATTAGTGATATCTATCCAATGCCCCTAGGCTATTTTCCTCAAACAAAGCAGCGGCTTAGAGGTGTGTTTTTGAAGACATTAAGACGACTAACAGTAAGAATATTAGAAAATGCATCTGACGTGCCTTTAAAACGCATTGTGGACTTGTTTTGAAGCCAGCCGAGTGGTTTATCAGGACACTTCATTTTGACAGTGTAGCGAAGAAGTAATTAAAAATGCATCTCGAATAACAACACCATGCATCGCAGATGTACGTTTTTAATTCTCATAACGCCTTTTTCGCAATGTACAAAATCAGCAGGTCTTAAGTATTTTGCTTATATTTACTTGAAATATTTGGTTCCTGCATCAAAGGTAAGTATGAGCGAGATAAAGTGGTCTTTTACATTGTCTTGATTGCCGCCCAGCGGGTAGATTACCATTAGTGTCGCGAGTTTGCGATAGGTCTTCCGTTTGACGACAATTTTTAATAACTGAATGTTCAATAAAATTTGAAAAGTATCGTCGAAACAACGCTGAGATTGCAATGTGGATGAAAAAGTCAGTTGACGAATACAGATAAATAAATAATTCAGCTAGAGTACGACTGAGATGTTCCCACATTTTTCGACGTTCAGTTTTTTGCATATCTTTTGTCGAGATATCATAAATAATATGAACGGTCATCGGGAGGCTGGCAATAATAATTATAGCTACTTGTGATAATAATATTCTGGTCAATTCTCTGTCAACGTTTTTCATCGCTCTTTTTGTACTTAATGTGGGAATTCGTTTATGTATTTGCCGTAGATTAATAAGTGTAAGCGAACCGAATATCGATAATAATAGTGGCGGTACAAAACTATAGGCGACGATTACAAACAGAGCCATGTACGTTGAAAATATGCCTGGTCTAGGATTACATTTGTGTGTTGTCTTTTCAATTTCGTAATAGAATAAACATGGTATTGTTACTATGATCCAAAATATGGTGGCTATCAATATGCGACTGAATGCCGAACGTTGCGTGGATCTTCGACTGCCCGTCAATATTAGATAGCGTTCGATCGTGCCGAGTATGATAAAGGTCAATGTGCAAAATGTTGCTGTTTGTCCAAAATAGACCCGTAGTTTACAAGCGTAAGCAAAACGATTCGTAGGATTGTTGGTGAACAGACCAATACTCGGTCCAAAACACAATTGTACTAGATCGGCTATGCTACTTGCTAGCAGATACATCGAACACGCATTTCTTCTCAATGATTTATATTTCAAAATAATAATAATCACTAATAGACAACTAATAATGCCAGAACACAGCATCGCACCTCCAAACCATCGATTCAGTTGTTTTGATATCAAATAGAGGTG